CTTCCATTGTCCCAATGGCATCTCATCATCATCATCATCGTCATCGTCATCATCATCCTGAGGCCATTAAGGCAACGCTTCCATCGTCCCAACGGCATCTCATCATCATCACCATCATCATCATCATCATCATCATCATCAACCCAAGGCCATTAAGGCAATGCTTCCATTGTCCCAGAGGCATCTCATCATCATCATCATCATCATCTTCGTCATCGTCATCACCATCCCCATCATCGTGATGCCCCCAAGCCCATTAAGGCAACGCTTCCATCACCCCACAGACATCACAATCCCCCTCCTCCTCCTCCTCCTCCTCTTTCCCCTTCCCAGCTCCATGTTCCTGCTGGGAGCTTCCCCTCCCCTCTCCCAGTTTACCAGCGATCGGAACCGCGCCGGCACCATTGGTCTGGCAGCAACCGTGAACCACTCTGTGCTCCTTGCCCTTGGGCTGCCCGCTGGAGACCTTGTACTTGAGGAGGAGGAGGAAGATGAAGACGAGCACCGAGGCCACGATGATGCCACCGATGGCGATGATCATGGTGCCGCCCAGGAAGTGCGCGTGGAGCGCCCGGCACCGCCCGCGCTCCTCCCGCGTGGTGAAGCCCACGCAGCCCAGGCCCCGCGTCGCCGGTAGGGCCGTGGCGCCGTCGGCGTGCACCGCAAGCACGCACAGGTCGTAGGCGCGACCGGGGACCAGGTCGCTCAACTGGAAGGAGTTGGTGGTCACTGGGAGCATCCTGGAAGGGGGAGGGAAAAGGGGGTGGGGTTGGTGGGGGTGGAGGGAAAAGGGGGTGTTGCCATTGGGGAATGGGGGGGGGGAGGAGGGGGGGTAGGGGTGGAGTATGGGGGTGGATGAGTGGGTGTATGGGGGAATGGGTGTATAGGGATTGATGGGTGTATAGGGATTGATATATAGGGATGGAAATATATGTAGGGATAGGATATAGAGGAATGGATAAGTATACATAGGAATAGATATATAGGAATTGATAAGTATATATAGGAATAGACGTATAGGAATGGATAGATAAGTATATATAGGAATAGATATATAGGAATTGATAAGTGTATATAGGAATAGATATATAGGAATTGATATACAAGTATATATAGGAATAGATATATAGGAATGGATAGATAAGTATATATAGGAATAGATATATAAGAATGGATATACAAGTATATATACAAATAGATATAGAGGAATGGATATGTAAGTATACATAGGAATAGATATATGGGAATATAGAGGAATATATGTACAAGTGTATATAGGAATAGATGTATAGGAATAGGTAGACAGGAATATATATAGAGGTATATATAGGAATGGATGTAAAGGAACAGATATAGAGGAATGGATATATAGGAATATATATATAGGAATGGATATAGAGGAACAGATATAGAGGAATGGATATATAGGAATATATATATAGGAATGGATACAGAGGAATAGATACAGAGGAATGGATATATAGGAATATATATATAGGAATGGATGCAGAGGAATAGATATACAGGAGTAGATATATAGGAATAGATATATAGGTATGTATAGGAATGGCTATAGAGGAATAAATCTATAGGAATGGATATATAGGAATATATATACAGGAATAGATCTATAGGAATATATACATAGGAATGGATCTAGAGGAATAGATATACAGGAATATATAGGAATATATCTAATATCTATTATTATCTATTATCTAATCTATTAGATATATATTCTACATTATAATGTACACTATAGATTTTGTAGGACATTCTAATATATACTACATAGCATATATACTCTATATATAGCAATCACAGTCATTCACTGAAATAATTATCTGTATTATGTATTATATAATTTTATATCTTATATAATACATTATATATGTTATAGATATACATAATATGTAATATATATTAGCTATTGTCTATATATTATACTGTACACTATAGACTTTTATATAACATATTCTAATATATACTGTATAGTTTATATAACATCATATTGTGTATATATGCTGTATACATTATATGTATGAATATATATAATATATATACACAGAATGTCTATCTCATATATATGTATACATACATACATATACATATATATATATGAGACCCTTGCTTCCCCTCCACCAAGCCCCGCCTCCTCTCTAGCCCGTAACCATGGCAACGGGAGGATGAATGGCACCCATCCCTCCTGGCCTGCTGGCAGCCCTGGCACTGATTCCTCTCCTCTCCTCCCTAAGGGATGCTCTGATGCTGGGTTGAACCCATGGCCCCTCCTCAATGGGATGGAGATGGGGATGCAGGGATGCTGGGGATGGGACCGGAGCCATAGGACCAGGAGCGATGGGTTCCCATTGGAACAGGTTGGAGATAAGGAAGTGAGGGCACTGGGACACTGGGATGGGTGGAATGGGGATGGTTTGGATGCCTCACCCCTTGCATTGCCCAAGGCCAAGTTAGACAGGGCTTGGAGCATCCCAGTCTAGCGTGAGGCATCCCTAGGGATTGGGATTGGGTGATACTGGGGTCCATCCCAAGCATTCCATAGGGAAGCACACTACAAGTGATAGGGGCTGGTTTGGCACAATAGGGTACCACCATACCCATACGGGCACAAAGGGGCTTTGGGCATCCTGATTTCTCCCATCCTTTTTGGGGACCAGAATTACACTTCCTCAGCATTAAAGGGCACCAAAATAGCCCCAATTCCACCCAAAATAGCCTCAATTCCACCCAAAATGGTGTGCCTCCCATTGCCTCCTGTTTGATGGGTGAAGGAGGCAACCAGTGCCTCCCATTGCCTCCTGTTTGATGGGTGAAGGAGGCAACCAGTGCCTCCCATTGCCTCCTGTTTGATGGGTGAAGGAGGCAACCAGTGCCTCCCATTGCCTCCTGTTTGATGGGTGATGGAGGCAACCAGTGCCTCCCATTGCCTCCTGTTTGATGCGTGAAGGAGGCAACCAGTGCCTCCCATTGCCTCCTGTTTGATGGGTGAAGGAGGCAACCAGTGCCTCCCATTGCCTCCTGTTTGATGGGTGATGGAGGCAACCAGTGCCTCCCATTGCCTCCTGTTTGATGGGTGAAGGAGGCAACCAGTGCCTCCCATTGCCTCCTGTTTGATGGGTGAAGGAGGCAACCAGTGCCTCCCATTGCCTCCTGTTTGATGGGTGAAGGAGGCAACCAGTGCCTCCCATTGCCTCCTGTTTGATGGGTGAAGGAGGCAACCAGTGCCTCCCATTGCCTCCTGTTTGATGGGTGAAGGAGGCAACCAGTGCCTCCCATTGCCTCCTGTTTGATGGGTGAAGGAGGCAACCAGTGCCTCCCATTGTCTCCTGTTTGATGGGTGAAGGAGGCAACCAGTGCCTCCCATTCCCTCCTGTTTGATGGGTGAAGGAGGCAACCAGTGCCTCCCATTCCCTCCTGTTTGATGGGTGAAGGAGGCAACCAGTGCCTCCCATTGCCTCCCATTTGATGGGTGAAGAATGCAACCACCTCCTCCCATTGCCTCCTATGGGGTTCCTCCTTCCAAGGCAGCTCTGATGATGCAGACGATGCCCCATTGGAGCCTTCCTCCCATGCCCCCCATCCCAGTGGCAGGACCAGCATTACCTGTACACGAGGATGTCATCGGCGGAGCTGTTGTACTGGAGCTGGTACATCCTCATCCCAGGCAGGTGATGCTGGGCCGGCCACCGGATAAGAGCCGAGGAAGACGTCAGCTCCGTGACCATCACCCCCTTGTCCTGCTCCCCCTTTGTCTCATTGGGGAAGCTGGATTTGGCCGGGATGAGGATGTCCGACGGACCGGGTTCGGCATCCTTGTCGCAATGGGTGCTGTTGGCAAGGTTGGGGTACGGGCTCACCGCGAGCTCAACCGGCGCCGTCGATTCACCAGCGGCATTGGACGCGATGCAGGTGAAGGTGCCTTTATCCCCTATTGAAGCAATGAGGATGTCCAAGGTCCCGTTCTCATAGGAGATAGTCCTGGATGTGTTGGACACCAGCTTCCCATCGGGAGCGATCCATCGGACGTAGGGATCGGGGTCACCGACCGCTTTGCACTTCAAGGAGACGCTTTGCCCTTCGGTCGCCATCAACTTGGGGGTGCGGTGGGTGATCATGGGGGGCTCGCACACAAACTCCTCCTCTTTGATGGACCAGAAGTACTTGCCCATGAGCTCCGGTGGGGAGGCGCAGGTTTCCAGGTCATCCTCCCTAGTGAGGCGCCTCAACCACACCAGTTCGCAGTTACAATGCAATGGGTTCCCACCAAAGCTGAGCACCAAGGAGGACAAGGGCGAGCCCTTGGGTTTGGTGTAGACGGGGATCCTGGAGAACAAAGGATCCGGGGGGATCTTCTTCAGCTTGTTGGAGGTCATATCCAAACGGGCCAACTTATGGAGGTTGGAGAAGATCCCTTCCGGCACGGCCTCGATGAGGTTGTGGTCCAAGCTGATGGTGTTGACGTTGGAGAGCTTGGCGATGGTGTCCCAAGGGACGCGCGCGAGGTTGTTGTAGGACAGGTCCAGGTCTTCGATGGTCTCAATGAAGTCATCCAAGGAAGCGGGGGAGATGGAGCTCAGTTGGTTGTTGCTGAGGATCAGGTGGCGGAGGTTGACCAAGCCTTTGAGGTGGTCCTCGTCGATGCGGGTCAAGCGGTTGCTGTCCAAGTGCAAGGCATGGAGGCCCTTGAGGTCGGAGAAGGCGTAAGGCATGATGTGGCTGATGGTGTTCCTGGACAGGGTGAGGTGGAGCAGGTTGGTCATGTTGGCAAAGTCCTTCCTCCGCAGCGTGGTGATGAAGTTGTCCATGAGGCGCAGCTCGGCCGTGCGCCGGTCGAGGCCGGGCGGCACGAAGAGGAGCCCCGTTTTGGTGCAGAGGATGGTGAAGGATGGGGAGAGCGTTTGGCACGTGCAGCGCTTGGGGCACGGCATGGCCTTCGCGGCGGTGCTCAGAGCCAGCAGGGGGAGGAGGAGCCTTTCCATCGTAAGGGGGCGCTGTAGAGCTGGGGGGGGGAGAAGGGAAAGGTATGGGAATAGAGGGGAAATGCATGGGAATAGAGGGGAAAGGGGGAGAAATGCATGGAAATAGAGGGGAAATGCATGGAAATAGAGGGGAAATGCATGGGAATAGAGGGGAAATGCATGGAAATAGAGGGGAAATGCATGGGAATAGAGGGGAAATGCATGGAAATAGAGGGGAAAGGAGGAGAAATGCATGGAAATAGAGGGGAAATGCATGGAAATAGAGGGGAAAGGGGGAGAAATGCATGGAAATAGAGGGGAAATGCATGGAAATAGGGGAAATGCATGGGAATAGAGGGGAAATGCATGGAAATAGAGGGGAAAGGCATGGGAATAGAGGGGAAATGCATGGGAATAGAGGGGAAAGGCATGGGAATAGAGGGGAAAGGGGGAGAAATGCATGGGAATAGAGGGGAAATGCATGGGAATAGAGGGGAAAGGCATGGGAATAGAGGGGAAATGCATGGGAATAGAGGGGAAAGGCATGGGAATAGAGGGGAAAGGCATGGGAATAGAGGGGAAAGGCATGGGAATAGAGGGGAAAGGCATGGGAATAGAGGGGAAAGGCATGGGAATAGAGGGGAAATGCATGGGAATAGAGGGGAAAGGCATGGGAATAGAGGGGAAAGGCATGGGAATAGAGGGGAAAGGCATGGGAATAGAGGGGAAAGGGGGAGAAATGCATGGAAATAGAGGGGAAAGGGGGAGAAATGCATGGAAATAGAGGGGAAAGGCATGGAAATAGAGGGGAAAGGCATGGGAATAGAGGGGAAAGGCATGGAAATAGAGGGGAAAGGGGGAGAAATGCATGGAAATAGAGGGGAAAGGGGGAGAAATGCATGGAAATAGAGGGGAAATGCATGGAAATAGAGGGGAAAGGCATGGAAATAGAGGGAAAGGGGGAGAAATGCATGGAAATAGAGGGGAAATGCATGGAAATAGAGGGGAAAGGCATGGAAATAGAGGGGAAAGGGGGAGAAATGCATGGAAATAGAGGGGAAATGCATGGAAATAGAGGGGAAAGGGGGAGAAATGCATGGAAATAGAGGGGAAATGCATGGAAATAGAGGGGAAAGGAGGAGAAACGCATGGAAATAGGGGGGAAAGGAGGAGAAATGCATGGGAATAGAGGGGAAAGGAGGAGAAATGCATGGAAATAGAGGGGAAAGGGGGAGAAACGCATGGAAATAGGGGGGAAAGGAGGAGAAATGCATGGAAATAGAGGGGAAAGAAGGATTAAATAGAGGGGAAAGGAGAACTGCATGGAAATGTAGCCACCTCCCCCAAATTCACCTGAAATCAGGCTCTTTTAGCGCCCCAAAATCATTATTTTCCTTAAAAACACCCCAAAACCAACCAAGAAAAAACACCCCATCACCATCTGAAACAAAGAACACCCATTTAGGGGTTAATATGGAAGAGGGGATGCTACCACTAAGTAGGACAAATACAAGGCTGATGATGCCCTGATTTAATGCAAGGGGAGAAATGTGCCAACGCAGCAAAAATGGGAGCTCCATAATAACCCCAGGGATGCTGATGGCATCAATAGGATGTTGGGAGTGGGGGGGTTCAGTGCCCTCAAGCTTCTGGTTTCAGACATAGAAAATGATGTGAAAAGAGGGGAAAAAGGGCAAATTGGGCTGGTTTCTATGTTCTAAGAGATGCTCCATTGGTGTCTGGTTGGAAAGCACGGGTCCAAACCTAACCCCGTTATCCTCCCATAAGCAATCATGGGATAAGAGAAGTGATGCTCTCCTACGTTACCCATTGGTTTCACACCGTATCCATATGTAATTCTATACATTAGACATCCCTATGGAATTATATCTATTAGCTATCCATATGTAATTCTATACATTAGACATCCCTATGGAATTATATCTATTAGCTATCCATGTGTAATTCTATACATTAGGCATCCCTATGTAATTATGCATATTTAACCAAATCTTCCCACTTTTAGCTCAGAAAAGCCTGCCTGAAACCAGCTGGGTTGCCCAGAGCATCCCTAAGGATAACGGTAATGGGGCTGATAGGGCTCCGGGATCCTCGATATCCATCTGGAAGGACCAGTGCTCCCCATTAGAAGTGAGCAGGCACTGATTTCAGGGACGCTCTGCTCCATAGGGAACCCCTGTCCCTTTGCCTGTGCCCATTGCTCACCTAGAACAGGCCACAGAGCTTGGGGCTGGGGCTGAGGGGGGGAACCCCTTTGTTCCCAATGGGATCACGAGGGGAAAACGGCACCGAAGGGACCCTAAAGGGGAATCAATCAGTGCAGCTCCACTCGGGAGAGCACAGGGAGCTTTTCCTGCCGCAGAATTCCCTCTATCGGGTCCCTAGGGAGGTTTCTGTTGTTATAGTAGGAAAAAAGCTGATTTATGGCTGCGTTTTTGGTCCATTTTGCAAAGTTAAAGGAGAAATCCCTGCCCTGAACCCAGATCTCCGATGGCCGGGGATTATACATAGAATACTAGTAATAATATTGCTATATATAATAATATATTATTATACTATTATATTATTTTATTATATGCATAATAATAAATAATAATATATAATAGTATTATATAATAGTATTATATATGTAATACCTATAAAGTAGCATATATAATGGTATATATATTATTATATATACACAGTCATTGAATACCTACTGTTGAATATATATAATATTATTAGTAATATTACTATATATAATAATATTTTATGTTATTAAATGAATATATTATTATATTATTGTTCTGTTCTATTATATATGATTATGTTATATTATTATATACATAATACATGATAAATATTATATATAATAATATTATATATATGTAAAATAGTGTTTTATATATATAATAGTAGATATATCATTATACATTTAACACCTATTTAATCCAAGGCAATTGCCTAGTTTCTATTCTCAAACAGGAGCAATCCATCAGCCCAATGGGGCCTGCTGGGATGGGAAACCATCCCTATCCCATTTCCTCAGCTCTCTCCATAGGGAAACCCCATTCCCAGCACCCAGCACCAGTACTGGTGAGCAGAGCTGCTTGGAAGGGATGGGACCAGCTTCCCATTGCCATTCCATGCTCATGTCCGGGATGCAGGCAGCATCCATGGCAGCAAGGAAGCATCCTATTCCCAATGCAATGGGCGGCTATAGGGAAAGGGGGGGATGCCATAAGGGCTCCTTGCCCCATTACAACAGCCTTAAGCGGGTGACCTTCAGGTCCCCAGCATCACCACAGCCCCAAAGGGGCAAGGGAATGGGATCATCCCTTGGGAAAAGCCGGGATCCAGCGCTCAGCATCCCCATTCCCAGGCTCAGGATGGGCCCTCTCGTGGTCAGAGCAAGGTACCAAGAGGGGGAAACGCTGCGGCCACACCGGGCTCACCCCATTTACGGACGTGGGAAGTCAGGGATGAGCCGAAAAACGGCGTTTTTCACCCCAAAATAAGCGGGGAAAACGGGGCGGGTTTGGTGAACTGGGGTCACCCGGCACAAAGAACCTCGGTTTGAGGCATTTTAAGGCGAAAAGAGGGGTTTTGGAGCCTCCGTGTAAGGGTTTTCAATCATAGTGCTAATACAGGTCCATGGATTAAGCTCGGCTCGGAGGCAATGGGGCTCTTATAGGGCGAACCCCCCCTTTTCCCATATCCCAAACCCACATCCCAAGGGATTTTCCCTCTCCATCTCAGCGCTGCTCCGTCCCCATCCCCTCCTCCCTCCGGCCCCATGGGCTCTCGCCATTCCCATCGTCAGGAATCACCTCCACCATCCTCAATGACACCGGAGGCATCAAGCGCCGGCTGCCCCCCTGCATGGAACCGGCATTGGGAACGCCGCCCGCTTCCATAGGGATGGAAGCATCCCCAAGCACCCCCCCAGTTCCTCTCCAGCATCCATCCCTTGCATCCCCGCAGCATTCCAGCGGCTGGGAAGGGTGGATCCCGCTATGGGAAGCGGGGCGGTGACACTGCAGTTTATCACCCTAAGGGATGGAGGCGATAGAAACAGCGCTGTCGCGATAGGATGAAGGATCCCGCATCCACAGTGATGCTATGGGAGCATTGAACGGGCTTGGTCCCCATCACCCCCGCCCCCCCCCCATCCCGCACCGCCATAGGGCCGGGAACCGGTACCGGACCCCCCCCGCTCTCACCTCTCCCGTTGCGAGCCTACAAGGGCGGCATCACCTCGGTTGTGCCCCCCCCATCGCCGCCGCCGCCGCCGCCTCCGCCTCCATCGCCGCTTCCATCGCCGCCGCCTCCGCCTCCCATGGTCGGTACCGGAGGAGGGAGCCTCCCGCACCGGCGGAGCCGGGCAGCGCCGCTGCCGCAGGGGCCGCCCCGCCCCGGCTCCGCGCAACGGAGGAGGAGGAGGAGGAGGAGGAAAGGGGAGGAAGGAGGCTCCGCCCCCCCCGGTCCCGCCCCGCCCCGCCCCATGGCCGCAGACCCGGTGCGGAGACCCCGGAGGGGAGATGCGGGCCTTGCCTGAGTGGTACCCATGGAGCATCCCCATGGTCCGGTGTTGGGATGCAGGGGAAACAGCATCCCCCAGTGATGTGGAGACGGGAGAGGGAGATGCAGTACTGAGTGGTACCCATGGAGCATCACCCCGGTCCGGTGTTGGGATGCAGGGGAAACAGCATCCCCCAGTGATGTGGAGACCAGAGAGGGAGATGTGGTACTGAGTGGTACCCATGGAGCATCCCTGTGGTCCGGTGTTGGGATGCAGGGGAAACAGCATCCCCCAGTGATGTGGAGACGGGAGACGGAGATGTGGTACTGAGTGGTACCCATGGAGCATCACCCCGGTCCGGTGTTGGGATGCAGGGGAAACAGCATCCCCCAGTGATGCAGAGACCGGAGAGGGAGATGTGGTACTGAGTGGTACCCATGGAGCATCCCTGTGGTCCGGTGTTGGGATGCAGGGGAAGCAGCATCCCCCGGTGATGTGG